GCTCCACCTTGTTGTAAATAAACTGCAGCAGCACAGCACAGAACATGAAAGTTGTGATCAGCTGATTTTGCGCAGTTCTCCAGTGTGTGTGTGGGGCACAGAATGTGCACAGGGGAGTCTCCCACCGCAGCCAGTTGACGTAGTTTTGGTACAATTCTGTTGTACACACCGACGTTAACCTGGTCTGTGCACACGGCGACCAACTCTGTCGTCCAGTGATCTAAGCCTCTGCCTCCTGTAAAGCTTCACAGGTCCGTCAACTATGGCCTGCACGGCTCACCCAGCTCCAGTTCAATCAGTCCAAGAAAGTCCGGAGATCTTTAGCAGGGAGCAAAATGCCAAAGTGGCTGCTTAATGTCTTTGGTTTTTTGGACATGTCTAATAGTTTACTCCACTGAAACACGTGTAGATGAAATAAGTGTTTTGTTTTGATGACCTATCAGGTACGCAAAGGCGCGTAGTGACACAAGTGACGTTACGCATTTCAGATTTTTGCCGCGCATGCGTACCTGCGTACCAGTTATGTGCACCCCTGACTATAGAGTACTACAGAGCACTGACTGACTCAGTTTCTAAACCATGGTAAATACAGAAAATAAACATATGTGTTAAAACTCTGAAAAATCCATATTGTTATTCATTTAAAATATTCAGTCAGGCTTAATCTGGACGATGCTGGTTGTGTCATTCTTAAATGCTAAATTAAGAGTGAACAGGCGGGAGCCAAGCACTCTGCCCTGATGGACGCCGGTGTTCAGAGATCTGACCATCAGTCTGAACGGAGGAAATCAATCATCCAGAGTCTGCTACATATTTCAGTTTTATTGGGGAGATTGTGTTGAATGCTTTGATGAAATCAACAAAAAGCTATCTAATGCAGGTGTTTTCAGGTGTGAAGGATGTGAGGAGGGAAGTAATCACATCCTAAAGGAATTTGCAACAAAAGAGCAACTAATGAAATAAATGCCATGGCAACATCTTTGGATGGACAAGGACTGTATACATCAGGAAATGGCCCAACCCAACAAGGAATGGATCCTCCAAAGAAAAATGGCATCAGTCACTTTTTAAATGGATTAATGACTTATGTTTACATTTCATTACATTACATCGCATTTAGCTGACGCTTTTATCCAAAGCGACTTACAATAAGTGCATTCGACCAAGAAGATACAAACTTGAGGAAAACAGAATCATATAAGTACATCAGGTTTCATAGAGCCAAAACATTTCAAGTGCTACTCAACTGGCTTTAGATAAGCCAGTCCTTTATTAGTATATAAGTGCTTTGTTAGTAATTGTATCGCTCGAAGTGGAGTCGAAAGAGATGAGTTTTCAGTCTGCGCCGGAAGATGTGTAAGCTTTATTCAATTGATAACAAACTACAGTGGGCATGTGAGTTTAGGCTATTGTCTGTCAGGATGAAAATAGTTTTGGAGCCAAATCTTCAGAATCAGAATACCTTTATTCGTCCCACAGAGGGGACATTTGCATACAATCTTAACCAATCTCTGGTTTTGAAAAGCACTGATAAATATGTGGTCCCACTGAGAGTGGAATCAGATCAGGAAATGGCCAATATGGGTCAAAGAAAAGTCAGGGAGAAACTCCTACGACAAGGACAGATTATAACACAAGCACGGGAGAACTGATTGCTTGTCAAATGACAACATTTTAGAGTTGTCACATTTAGAAGTTGTATCTTCCAGAGGTTTTGTTTTGAAGTCTTTTGTGCCAAGTCCTCGTCAAATTTCAAGACCTCATTTCTGTGAGTTGAAATATTTTAGTTTATTTACAGCAGAGAAACACAGGATGTCGCTAAACATAATAATAGTCATGCTGATAATAATAATAAACAGAAAGTATGTTAAAGAGCATTATTTTTCTATTCAGAGTTTCTCACAGTACTGCTATAACTTCCATAACTACATGGATTAATGCTTCAGAGATGAAATCAAACTTCTGCAGCTCAGAAAGGAGGGATTTCAGAACACCTCACATCCTCCCACAGCTGTCTCCATGGTTATGATATACTTCCCTCCCCAGCTAATGCCTATGAATAGTATCATGTCGCTGTGTTTGTGGAGCTGCAGAAATGCTTTAATCCATCCTCCAGTCCACGTTCTGCTGGCTAACAGCATTTGTTATCCGGGGGCTCAGCCAGGAGCAGAATGTGTGTGAAGCGTTGGAGCAGAGGAGCTGCTGCTGTGTTTTATAGCATACCTCTGTGCTGCAGTCAGAGCAGGGATCAGTCTGCTGTCTGCTGCTCTGCACTGTCTGCTCTCTGCCGCTGTGCAGACCTCACACATTTTTGCTGAAAAGTGTGCAGAACAGCATTACTACAGTTTGCACTCTGACATGAGAGCTGATTTGATTTATAGAGTGTCTACACTTTGCTCTCGCAAGAGTTTCTCAGAAGCAGCAGAGAGTTTCTTGACCACTTAGATGGAGCTGGAGTTTCATGTCAGGCTGACTGCCCAGCACATTTTATTCAAGCCCACATGTTCCATATAAAATGTGTATCAGCCAGATCTGGCAAATAGAGGACATTTAGCTGCATGCTGTTCAACATTTCTCAGTCTTCCCTGGCAAAATGACACACTAATAATATACTATGCACAATTTGAATGATATAAGTTATTCTGATATGATAAAAGTTTATTTGCATAAATGCAATCCACTGTTACACTGCTGCCTTTTGTAAAAGTAACATAAATAAATTACACATGTTATTGTTAAGGAGGCCCTATTATGGTTTTATGGTGTTCCCTCTCCTGTACTGTGTTGTATAGTTTTCTGTGCATGCAAATGGTCTGCAAAGGCTAAAATCCCTGTGTTCCGTCCAGAGGGAGTTTCTCCCCCCCCCTCCTTTGTTTTCTTCTGTAATATAATGACATCACTATGTAACACTTGCGATTCTATTGGCTAGCACTCCAACACATTATACGTGATAGGCTAAGGGGCGGGACATCTCTAAGCGGCTGACCAATCACAAGAGAGCCGGCCAGTTAACCATGAACCTCAACATGAGCATAATATCTCCTTTTTAATATTCCATTGATAGTAATTCTGATCTCTGTCCTGGAGGAGCAATTCATAACTGATGGAGATATTTCTAACATCTAAGACAGGTGTCAGGAAGAGATGTGCGCACACACACACACACACACACACACACACACACACACACACACACACACACACACACACACACACACACACACACACACACACACACACACACACACACACACACACACACACATACACACACACACACACACACATACACACACACACACACACACACGCTTTAGTCTTTATCTCTGGATTCACCATCACACAACGTGAGGAGAACTGTCACTCCGTTAGGGCTTTCACACCAACGCAGTTCCCGTTCTAGCTCCTCTAGAGCTTTTCTGGTTCGGAACAGTTTTTTATTTTCAGCCCCCGTTCTGTTCACACCGGCCAGAGCCCGACTGGTGCTGCCGCTGCTGCGTCATGACGTCACAGTTTACGTCGCTGATTTTCTCCCCAACGGCGTTACGGCGCTCACTACAACAACAACAATGGGGGTCTGCGTCGGGTCGATGATCGTGTTGCTTTTAATCATACGAAGCCAGATTAAATTAAATAACGACTTCTCCAACCTTATACTTTTCTCCAGAGTGCCGTGGTTCCTTTGTTTATTAATGTGTTTCAGCGGCATTTACCGACTGCTGCAGTGCTGGCTGCTCTTCCACGGGAGTTTATTCTCCCGTTAGCTCCGGGTTAGCTCACACGGCTCTAAAGTATTCACTGTCTGACTGTCACACAAGCAGCTGATACATATCCCCAGTTCCCCTTAAGTGAATGTGTGTCAGTCTGAATTGACGCTGTTTGGCATCACAACGCTGTTATGAAAGTTTCTCTGGTATAACATGGGTGATGTTAGCATAGCAACCGAAGCTAAACTGACTATCTTGACTACGTGTTGCTATCCTATTGTGGCATAAGCCGTTTTCTACAGGCACATTTTACCGGCGTATTTTTCAATATGATTCTACTTGTGATAGTCGGACATGACAACCTGTGCAGCCCATGTACTGATTCCATCCGATAGCTGCTATAATACAAATCAAAACGTCTGCCTCTCTCCACAATGATCAATAACAGCGAACGGATGGTCAAAGTAAGGTACAAATAAACAGAATCACACGAAGCCTGGTAAGTGTTGCCTGACTTTATAAAGTGTGGTTTTTCTTTATAAGTGTGTGGTTGCGTTCTAGTCACTTTGCTCAGCGCTACTGCTTGTTACAACTTTTATTTGCCGTACTCGCCTTTAACTGTTAGCTCAGGTTAATCTCGCCCCCCCCCCCCCCCCCCGACGTAAGCGTGACGTATGCAGTTCTTGACCGACAATTTTTTGGTGCTTGAAACGAACCGGATTCCGGAGCTTAGAGGCGGCTCCGCTGCGGTGTGAACAGGAAAAACCGGTGCTTTTCAGGCTGTAGCACGGACCGGCCCTGGAACCGCATTGGTCTGAAAGCCCCATTAGAGAGCTTGAGTCTTTAGGGGGCGGAGGAGTGGACTTGTCTAGAAGACCACTGCAGTCCCACTTGTAGGGACACTCATTCTGACAGGGTTCTGCAGATGTTGTGCTAGTACTAGTAGATAAAAGACGTTTCTTTCAAAGCTTATGAAAACCAAACAATCGCGTCTAATATTTTCTGCAGTGCAAAATGGTTTATTATATAGAGTAGAATGAGCATTTGGGAATGATTGTAAACCATAAAAATGTATAGGGATGGAATGCTTTTATAAACTGGCTGTCAACAGAATCAATATTGTGTTAAATTAATAAGTGATCATTAGGGGAAAAAAGATACAGCAAAACAATGCTGCTGGTTGCATTATATTTAAACACGCTCCATTCACCATACAAGCTGTTAAACTGCTACTTTTCTCAACTGTAGAACAGTCTCCTAATGGGAATAATCACACTTTGATGTCTCGTACAGACTGGGTTCATCCAGATCGGAGAGGAGCGCCTTTTCATCGAGCCACTGGGTGAACATCGCCCCTCACAGTCCTTCTCCGGACTGAAGCACCAGCTGCAGAGACACCGACGCTCTGCCCCCCCCCAGCTCTGCTCTGCACGCTGACCCGCCACACTTCTGTGGGACTGCACAAGGTGAGTGTGACAGAGAGCCACACTGGAGAGCACCCCCCTACACCATGATGAAGACATCCATCACAACTTAGAAACAAATATTTTAGAGATGGAATAAACAGGAAACATAGTAGGGCTGCTCGATTATGGCAAAAATCATAATCACGATTATTTTGGTCAATATTGATATCAGGATTATTAAATACGATTATTCATTGACTTTTAAAACATCCATTTATTGAACTTTAAAATAAATAATAATAATAATTTGAACAGTATCTTTAACAGTTGATTACCCTGAACTTTAAAGTGGACCTATCATGCTATATTTGAATAATATAGTGTAGGACCATACCTATATAAGGCATATTTATACTTTTTTTTTTTCAAAATACCAAACAGATCATGCATTTTAGCCATGCCTCATTTTGCTCAATTTGACAATTTCTAGCTCTGTTTTAGCAAGGGCAGATTCTGTGAGAACAGCACCATCTACTGGCCTGGCATATGTACTACAGCGTCTCCAGCGCTTTCGAACGGCAATGGCCGTGGCTGTCTCCTCCTGATTGGTGGAGTTGGCCCAATAGCCGTAGCGCCACCGTCCTGACGTCAGGACAGTGTTCAAATCTGGATCAGTTTTTATCAGATCCGTTGCAGCCCCTTTTTTAGAGATTTGGGTATGGAGGAAAATAGAGAGGGTTGTGTTTTCTGACACTTGGTGAGTTCCCTGGAACACCGGGGACACATATTCATGTATAAAAGACGTACAAAAGTGCATTTTGCATGATAGGTCCCCTTTAAGTATAATTCAACTGCAAAGTATTCAGCTGAAGCCACATCTTTTTCAACTTCCCCACGGCATTTGTCATATAGGGCAGGCAGTGCAGATCTGGTGAAATGATGCCGAGATGGCATCGTGTAACGCTTGTCCATAGTGTTAGCCAGTTGCTAACGTTGCTAACTGGGCACATGTCTTTAGCTATATAGAATGTGATGGCATGTGTTTTATCTTTGTGTCTTTGCGAGCTGGTTGAGTAGGCCGTTGCACTGTAAAGCGCGTCCTTAATTGATGACTGTGATGTGGTGGATGAAGTCGAGGGGGCACGCTCGTGAACTGTCAACAGGGGGGTGGGGGGGGCCTCGCTGCGGGGAAAAGTGGACCTCTGTCGCCTGTCAGCGCAACTGAAATGATGACGTTTAAAAAAAGCGGGCCGAGCCGGCCGTCTGTGATTCTCCAGAACACACAGATGGCCAGTCCGCCCCTCCTGCACTTCGCTGTTCCCATGGTAACAATGCTGAAGAGATATCACGTCCACTCTAGCTTGTGAAATAAAACTGATATGGGCCGCTAAATTAATCAATTTAGTGTTAATCAGACCACAAAAAAGAAGCTAACTAATCCTCCCCGAGGTCCCTCTCCCTCACTTCCTGCCGTTTAGAGCAGGGGTGGGGAACCTCCGGCCCCCGGGCCTTATACGGCCCGCGAGACCATTTGGTACGGCCCTCGAGGTAATTTATAAACACACGCAAAAAAGAAAAAAACTTAAGAAATCTAGACCGCAAAAAAATTAAACAAGCGAGTGCCTGTTTTTCCTGGGTTAGGTCAGGGTCCTTGAACACAACACGAGCCTAACGTGTCATCACGTGGTATATGTCCCGTCTGACAGGGGTGCAGTTCTGCAGGAGAGCACCAGAACGCGGCTCCGGGCCGGGACTTCACAAATTGCAGTACCCATAAGGAGCCGTACACATGCCACAGTTTTTGCGTGGCTGTGTCTTTAGTTGTAAAGCCCAGTGGCGATCTGCTCATCTGTCATACTGATCATACAGTCAATAACTTTGTTGTTATTAGCATCTGGTTAGCTAGCTATGCTAACGAATATAAGAAGCTTCTACAACCAGTGAGGTAAAGGCACATCTCGAGGAGGACGCCGGAGAGGACGCTGGCGTTGACTGTTCGCCGCTTCTCCGCCTCTGTTACCCTCTATCACCCTCAGCTACCATTCGTTCTCGTAAAACTTTCGAATTGGACCACTGCCCTGCATTGCACATCTTTACTGCACTGCACATTGTTTTTACATTTTAACTTATTTTAGACTTCTGCCTCCGTTGCTGGCTGTAGCCGGCTGCCCTCACTCAGCCATCAAAGTGCCGGGTGGCTATTGCTATCTGCTACATCGCCTACTTGTCTGTCTCCGTCCCACGCAACAACCGTGGACTCTCTCTGCCTCCTGCCTTCATCTCTGGGGTGCATCTGTCCCGTCCCGCTGTTCACATCCTCCTGCCATGTCGTGGATCTTCCTCGTCTCCACAACAATCCTCCACCTCTGTGCACCTAGCCCGCTAGCCGCTATCGCTGTTAACACACTGCTCCCAGCCTTTCCGCCTGTCATCATGCTGAAATACTCCATCTCACAGCTTCTGTCATTCACCAACTCCTCCACCCCGTCTTCCATCTCAGTCATCAGACATCTTGGACTCCTTCGTCGACCCCGCTACATTCACCGAAGCACCCGCCGCAGTTTTGTTTACTTTCAGCACGGACAATCCATAGCATCCATCTGCTCTACCCAACGCACTGTCGCACACCTGACGCGTCATCAGAACGCAACTCCTACTGCTCGTCTTACACTCTCCCTCGCTCACCTACACTCCCAGCTGCATGAAATACCCGGAGCAGATTCCACTCCCCTCCGCCTCCCAACACATATAACAAGCCATTTCTCCCCACCATCAAGCCCCCCTCCTCTGCTCCACTGCCCCCCCTCTCGTGCCCACCCCCGCGCTGCTAACCTAGACAACCTCATACCTCTCCAGCCTGCCACCACCCCTCCAAACCCCCACGTGACCAATTTTGCCCTCCTCAATATCCGGTCACTCAACAATAAAGCCCATATCCTCCATGAACTAATTCTGGACAAATCCATCGACTTCCTTCTGCTCACTGAAACCTGGCAACAACCCAATGACTTCTTCTCCCTCAATCAAACATCCCCCCCTGGTTTTAATTACATCACTAAACCCCGCCCCTCACACCGTGGTGGTGGGCTGGCTGTCATTTACAACCAGAACATCCGGACTACAGAACTCACCCTCCCCTCAGTATCATCCTTCGAATTCCTCGCCTTCAAAGCCCCTCCCTCACTGACAGTTATCCTCATTTACCGCCCCCCCAAACCACACCCCTCCTTCCTCTCTGATCTCACTGAACTCCTCACCATTGCTTCATCCCTCTCCCCATGTCTGTTACTCCTCGGCGACCTCAACATCCACATGGACTCCCCCACCTGCAAACTCGCTTCTGAATTCTCCTCCCTTCTGGACAATTTCTCATTTACCCAACATGTCACGTTCCCCACCCATGATAAAGGACACATCCTTGACCTTGTCTGCTCCACCAACCTCCCAGTACTCGACCTCCACCCCTGCCCCTTTCCCCTCTCTGACCACAAACTCATACAGTTCACCATCGCCTCCCCCATCCGCCACCCCCCCCCCCCATCCAGGAACATCACCTTCCGTAATTTACGCTCTGTCGATCCCCAGCACCTCTCCGACCTGCTATCCTCTACTCTCCCCCTGGACTCGAACCTCAGCTCACCCGATGAACAACTCAACCACCTTAATTCCACCCTACTCGCCTCCCTCAACAGCCTGGCCCCCCTCAAAAGGAAAAATGTCACTTTTAAAACCTCCTCACCCTGGTTCACCCCTGCACTCCGTAAGTTGAAGCAAACCGGCCGCCAGCTTGAACGCCTAACCATGAAATCATCCCTCACAGTTTACCATGAATCCTACAAACTCCATCTCACTACCTACAGAGACGCCCTCACTGCGGCAAAATCTGCTTACCTCTCCACCATCTTTACCGACCCCTCCCGTAACCCCAGGACCCTCTTCTCCACCGTCAACAAGCTCCTCAAACCCCGTGCTGACACCCTCCCTTCCTCCACTTCCACTTTATGCAGTCCATTCCTCCAGTTTTTCTCTGACAAAATCACTGCCATTAATCTCTCCCTATCCACTGCATCTCACACACAAACATCTCCCCCAACATCCACCGCCACAATTTCTCCCTCCATCTCCCTGGACCTCCCGAGCCCTCCTCCCCACGGCCGCCTCTCCCAGTTCACTCTGGTTACCCCCCCTGAATTACTCAAACTGATCAGCTCCTCCAAACCCACAACCTGCTCGCTTGACCCTCTACCCACCCCTCTACTGAAGTCCTGCCTCCCCGTCCTCTGCCCCTACCTTGTCAACCTTTTCAACTCCTCCCTGTCCCAAGGAACCGTTCCCTCTGCCTTCAAAACTGCTGCTGTCACTCCCATCCTCAAGAAACCCGGTCTGGATCCCTCCTCCCTCAGTAATTACCGCCCCATCTCCAACCTCCCCTTTCTCTCAAAAACAATAGAACGCATCATCTCCAAACAACTCCACCGCCATCTCCAAACAAATCACCTTTTTGAAACCCTTCAGTCTGGTTTTCGTCCCCACCACAGCACAGAAACGGCACTCATCAAAGTCCTCAATAGCCGCGTTCACACCAAGTACTTTCCTGTACTTAGTTCCGGCACTCAGAGCCCCGGCGCTTTTAACCCCAGGGCACTTAGTACAGATCGCGTTCACACCGGAGTACTTTTCCCTGAGGGAAGATTACGCAAATGAGCCGCTGACGTCACTTCTTCTTCTTCTGCTTTGGCTTTACTGGCAGGCCACAAACCACTTCACGGCGAGTACAGTAGGTGGCGGTATGCACCTTAAAGTTGTTTGCAATCCGCTAGAAAACAAGAGAAGAAGAAGAAGAAAAACTTCCCGCGTATACTGTCTGTTGTTTACCTTCCGACCTCAGACATGATGGAGATGGAGTCGACTGAAGTTGTGCTGTTTGTGCTCATGTTATACAGCTTTGTAACTTCGTTAATGCGGCCTGAGCCTGAGCCTATTAGGCGTCCGACACAAATCCGGAGCTGCCACACATCGAATGCTATAATCGCAAAGTTTCTTCAGCATCAAAGGCAGTT